GTAGGAAGTGCATTTTCCTCCCTGTCAGCGGAAGGTAGCTACCGGGAAGCCCCTCTGTACCTGTGTAGGCAGGGCGGGCTGTCCCGGGACCAAGCAAAGGTACCTTCTGCACACTGATGCAATCCTCCCTGGCAGCTGCAGGCATAAAAGGCCCGTTACACCAGAGGCTCCGGGCAGGCCTCCTGGTCCCAGAGAGCCCCCCAGGCACCGCCCCCCAGAGCAGCCCGAAACCTCTCCCGCTGAACAAACTGCCCTGCTTCTCACTGGCTTGAGTGTGACCCTGGCATCCTGCTGAGACCCTTGTCCCTCCCATGCCCCTCCTGCCGAACCCAGCACTCACAGCCTCTGGAGGCACTCCAAACCACAGCCTCAGGGTCAACTTCTTCCAGGCAGAGGAAGGCGGCCAGGCGGTCGAAGGACACCCGGGACTGGGGAAAACAAAGCTGGGGTCACCCGTGCCGAAGGGCGGAAAAAGAACTGAGGCTGCCACTGGTTGGTGCGGTGCAGCGGCTAGAGCATCGGCCCACGCACCAAAGGGCGGCAGGTTCCTGGTCAAGGGCACTTACCTGGGTTGTAGGTTCCCTCCCCTCCCTGGTGGGTAGGGGCACATGCGGGAGGCAAACAATCTATGTGTCTCTCTCACATCGATGTTTCTCTCTCTCTCTCTCTCTCTCTCTCTCTCTCTCTCTCTCTCTCTCTCTCTCTGTCTTTCCCTCCCTCCCTTCCATTCTCTCTAAAAATCAATGAAAAAAATATCCTCAGGTAAGAATTAACAAAAAATAGAAAACACAAAAATAAAAGAACTCAGGCTTTGGGTGTTGGGTGTCTCAAGAGGGTGGGGAAAGCTTCCTGTCTACAGGCTTTCTCACTTGCACGGCCTTAGTACAAAGATTAGCACAAAGCTTTTGTTTTGTTTTGTTTTGTTTTATTTGTTAATCCTCACTCCAGGATATTTTTCCATTGATTTTTTTTTTAAGAGAGTGGAAGAGAGAGGGAAAGACAGAGAAACATCAATGTGAGAGAAACACACCAATTGGTTGCCTTCTGCATGTGCCCTGACCAGGGCCCAGCCTGGGAGGAGCCTGTAACTGAGGTACGTGCCCTTGAGCAGAATTGAACCCGGAACCATTCAGTCCCCAGGCCAACGCTCTATCCACTGAGCCAAACCAGCTAGGGCCAAAGCTTTTTAGGTGACAAAAATGATGTTCATGAGGGTGGTGGCAGTGATGGTGGTGGTGCCCTCCCCCCTCCTTGCTCCTAATGAGCATAATTGGTAGATGGAGCTGCCATTCTGCAGGCTACACCCGGGAAGACAGCATCAGCAGGCCATTATCAGGAACGATTCTAAGCCTTGTCCACCTGGGGGTGCCCTCTGCTCCCAACCCCAAACCCTTCCTTGGTAAGGTCAAAGGGAGCCATTTAAAGAGGGATGGCCCAAGCCGGTTTGGCTCAGTGGCTAGAGCATCAACCTGTGGACCAAAGGGTCCCAGGTTCGATTCCGGTCAAGGGCACGTACCTCGGTTGAAGGCTCCTCCCCAGCCCAGGCCCTGGTCGGCACTTGTGCAGGAGACAACCAATCAATGTGTTTCTCTCACATCAATATTTCTCTCTGTCTTTCCCTCTCTCTTCCAATCTCTAAAAAAAAAACAATGGAAAAATATCCTTGGGTGAGGATTAAATAATAAGAAAGGAAGAAAGAAAGAAAGAAAGAAAGAAAGAAAGAAAGAAAGAAAGAAAGAAAGAAAGAAAGAAAGGAGGGAAGGAAAGAAAGAAAGAGGGATGGCTCAGCCAGGCAACTGCTGTCTCATTTTCATCACCCCCAAGGAGGCACAACATGAGTAGAGTCCGTAAAGAAGAGAAATAAGATAAAATTGCTTTGTGTAAAAAGGGAACCGAAATGAATCCATGCATGTGAGATTGCTGGATTGGTGAGGCTGTGTATTTTGAGGATGTTTGCTGACACCTTCTGCCGTAGCCTCTGCCCCTTCCCTCCCCGTTTGCTGCTGTGATTCATCCCCTTTCCCACTCCCTCTCCCCCTCCTCCTCCTCCATGGATGGCGGGTGCATGGAGACCGGGCACACCCCTGCAAGGCTCCTCCAAGCCGCCTCCCTCCCCCTGCCTCACCTGGACAACAGAGTGGATGGAAAAGGGCAGGAAAGCCTGGGCCTTGTTGAGGATGTTGAGAACCGTGAGGGTCACGAAGGCTTTCTCGGCGTCCATGGCATTCTCCTCTGTCACCAGAGTATGGACAGTAAACACCACCAGTGCCACCTGGGTGAGACACAGGGGGTGGCATGAGCTTCCATGAGTGTGGCCAGGGACACCTATGCCAGCTGTGGCCTCTCCAGGGGTCCGTATGGCCCCTAAACGTGGATCTCCCCCCAAATTCTGCTACTGGTGAAGGGAGTGCGTACACGGCCCCATTGCCAGTAGGTATCAGAAACTCTGGATTCCAGGCATTGGGAGATACCACCATTCTCCATCGTGTAGAAGTTTGTGGTTCCAGATGTGGGTGGGACTTGTGATTCGAGAAACCCTTGGAAAATAGCAAGTCTGTGAAAGTAGTAAGTATCGGCAGCACTTGAGGGCTCTAGGTATCGGTGGCATTTGTGGTTCTAGAAGTCACTTGGTGTGATGGTTCACTTCTAGATGCTGGTGATGTGTTGGCTCTAGAAGTCACTTGGTGTGACGGTTCAGTTCTAGATGCTGGTGATGTGTTGGCTCTAGAAGTCACTTGGTTGATGGTCACTCTATGTGATGCTTCGTCAGTGCTGATCACTTTGACGGCCACTTGTTGTGATGGTGACTCAGTGATCCTTTTGGGGGGAGCCCTCGTGGTTCTAAGTGATGGCACTTGCAATTCTGAGTGTTGATTGTGTTGATGACATCTGGTGTCCTGGCAAATGGCCCCTGGGATTCTAGATCCTTCTGGACACAGTGGTTAAGGCCCACTTGTCACCAGCCTTGAATGTTTTATGGTTTGAATTTTACTCTGGACACAGCAGTGAGTCATTGTGGGTTTGATTGCAATGGCGTGACTGCAGTCAAAGCCATGCTTCAGAAGGCTAATCTGGCAAGAATTTGTGAAATCAACTGGAAAAAGACAGGACAGGCACTGTGCCCAGTGTGTGTGTGTGGGGGGGGGGGCGGGGGGCAGCAGGGTGAACTTGGGGTTCCATCTCTGCAGCTGCCTGCACCTGTCACCGATTCCCCACAGCAGTAGAAGTGGCAGTTTCAGAAGACTCGAACTTTCAGGAGAACGACAGGCCTTCCCAGACACTGCCGCATTCAGGGAATGATCTGACTGATTCGCTAATCAGCAGGGACCCCTGAGCGAGAGCAGGATCCAGGAAGGGCGGTCTGCAAAGAGGCTCCAGGATTCGGGGGCTCCACCTACCTCCTCCCCCTCCCCCAACACCCCTTCCCCCCAGCCCACACTCTGCAGGGAGACCAGGGTGACGTCACCAGAAACGTGGACAGTTGGAAGGACACCAGAGACACAGAGAAGAGGAGTCCGGAGGTCCTCAGGGCGCCCAGCTCCTGGCCCCGGATGCGCAGGACTCTCTCCAGGAAGGCCCCCTCCCAGCCGTGGCACTTGACCGCCCTCATGTTTCGGAGGAGGCAGCTGGTGAGCCGTGCCCGGGAGTCCTTCTGCCTCATTTGCTCTTCCTGGGACCAGAGGGGAGAGGGGGGAGAGCACAGGGACAAGTCTAGAGCTTTCCTTCCCAGCAGCCACACCACCCCTTCAGCAAATCCTGCTGATTCGAACCAGGCCCCAAGCTGTCTGCCTCTCCGCATCTGCATCCCCACAGTCCTGGCCCAAGCCCCGTCATCTCCTCTGGACCACGTCATCTCCCTTTGTCCCCCTGCTTCTGCCTTCATCACAGGGGATGCTGCACCATAACCAAGGAGGCCCCCGATGAGCTGGAAACAGAGGCGGGGACCTGAACCGGCTGACACGGTGCCATCGGGAAGGCTTCCTGGAGGTGGGGGTGACAGATGAGCTACGGTGGGTGGGGTGGGCAGGGGAAGATGGAGGGGACAGCATGACTTGGAGGACATCCAGTGAGGTCAGAGGAGGGTGTGTGTGTGGCAGGGAGGACTAAGAAGGAGAGGTGGCCTGGATCATGCTGGGACTTGGAGGTCAGGCAGTGGAGGTGGGGCCACTGGGTTTCACCTTTGAGGGGCATCGTTAGAGGGGCAGCTGTGGGGACAATGTCTTAGAGGAGGCCAGACAGAAGATTGGAGAAACAGTCTATCCAACACCCTCCCTCCCTCCCTCCCTCCCTTCCTTTTTTCCCTCCTTCTTCCTCCCTCCCTCCCTTCTTTCTTCCTTCCTCCCTCCCCCCTTGCTTCCAAGAATGTATTTTTTAATATATTTTTATTGATTTCAGAGAGGAAGGGAGAGGGACAGAGAGAAACATCAATGATGAGAGAGAAAATCATCAATTGGCTGCCTCCTGCACGTCCCCTACTAGGGATCGAGCCCGCAACCCCTGGCCATGTGCCCTGGACCAGAATCAAACCCGGGACCCTTCAGTTCACAGGCCGATGCTCTATCCACTGAGCCAAACCAGCTAGGGCTCCAAGAATGTATTGAACACCTATGACAAGCGTATTCTAAAAGCTGAGACTGCATCAATGAGCATTCCCTACTCCTGGGAAACTTTCATTAGGACAACAGATAGACAATAAATGGAAGAACTAGGTGTGTCCTATGGCAGGTTAGGTGATGAGAGCTATGGAATGAAACAGCACAGGCCAAGGAGCTGAGCTGCAGGAGGGGGAGGGGCTGCCCAGACTTCAGGGAGGGGAGGGAGGAGACCTGACCCCTGGGATGAGGGTGTTCAGGCACAGGGCACAGCCAGCGCAAAGGCCCTGTGGCAGGAGCTGGGCAGGTTTGAGGATCCCAGGGAGGCATGGTGTGAGCAAGGGGCAGGAGGTGATGAGGCCACCTCACAGGGGGCAGAGGGCCACGGCAGGGTCTTGGCTTTGACTCTGAGGGGAATGGGAGGGAGGCACCCCTGGCTGGTGTGTGAAGAGGCCTAGGTGGGGGTGAGGCCGGAAGTGGGGACTCCACCAGGGGGGTCCCTGCAGTGACCTAGGTGAGAGACAGTGGGATTGGAGAGCCTGGGTATGGAGAAGGAACATTCTGGATGCAATTTCAACCAAAAGAGCTGACTCCTGGGATGTGAGTGAAAGAGAGGCGTCAACACCAGCCCAGAGTTATTTGTGGCCTGGATGCTGGAGGGACAGAGCTTCCATCCACTGAGATGGGGGCCGTGGGGACACGGGTCCGAGTGATTGGATGGCTCAGGCCATGGCCGGCAATGCCAGGCCCGCACCCCCTCCCCCACTCCCCTGCAGGCCCTCCTCCCATTCCCCTGTCAATGACCAAACCTGATAGTGGTTCCTCTTCCTGGTGATGAAGAAATTCAGAGGGAGGAGGCTCAGGAAGACAGTGACGGCGGTGAGGGCAGAGGGTCCTAGAAGCTGGAGACAGAGGGAGGAGGTCACAAGATTCCTGCAGGAGCCCAGCTGTAGACTTGGAGGGACCTGGTCAGCACCAGCGGCTGGGGTTGGAGGCTCACACTTGGTTCTGAAGGCAGGGGGTGGCAGGGGGTCTGGTGAGGGCAGCTAGCGGGTCATGGAGACCAGGATCATGGGACAGACACCTAGAAGGAGACACCTTGTACATGAGGGGGCAGAAAAGACGTACTGCACACAATGGGGGGTGCGCCTGGTCAGGATGGCGAAGTCAGACCTCTGGGATCAGGATTTGGGTTCAAATCCTGACTCTGACACTCACCAGTGTGGCCTTGGGCACATGACTTACCCTCCCTAAGAAGCAGTTTCCTCATCTGTGAAATGGAAATAGAGCTGTGCCCACACCTAAGCTAAGTGCTCGAGTCATACAATCCATTATCACCTGAGTCTTCGTTTCACAAGGGTTGCCAGACTTAGCAAATAAACATAGAGGACACCTGCCCGGTAAAATGAGGATTTCAGATACATAGTGAATACGTTTTTAGTATAAGGTGGTCCCATGGAATATTTGGGACATCCTTATCCTAAGAAATTATTCAGTGTATCTAAAATGTATATTTAACTGGATCCCTGTGTTTTGTCTGGCCGTCCCCACCCCCACCCCCAGCTCTGTGACTTTGGGACAGTTGCGTTCCCTTTCAGCTCTGGTTTCTCCACAGGGAAAATGTGGGGGGGGCGGCGGGGAGTAGAAGGAATGATCTGTAAGTGGCTGTGACTTTTTTGAGATTCCTTCTGAGGTCATTTGGGCCCATTCTCTAGACAAGCCTCACCCTCCCTCCAGCCTGGGGGCCTTGGTTTCTCCTATTAGCCAATAACAGTTTTGGAAATTTCCCTGACAACCAAACCAGCCAGTTTGTTTCATTTATGTAGCAATAGTGCCACCCAGTGGCTAAATAGACAAGTGCCAGAAGGCAAATGCCAGCCGTCAGAGCCAGAGTTGGGAAAATACTAAAACAGCCGTGGGCAAACTACGGCCCGCGGGCCGGATCCGGCCCGTTTGAAATGAATAAAACTAAAAAAAAAAAAAGACCGTACCCTTTTATGTAATGATGTTTACTTTGAATTTATATTAGTTCACACAAACACTCCATCCATGCTTTTGTTCCGGCCCTCCGGTCCAGTTTAAGAACCCATTGTGGCCCTCGAGTCAAAAAGTTTGCCCACCCTTGTACTAAAATGTTGATAGAAGGTCAAACACTCTGATAAAATGGTATCAATTGGCAAAAATGCTACACATGCTAACTATTGCCACCCCAATGCCTACCCCTCCTTAACTAGGATCTCAGGGTGATCCTCTGAGTAGGCCAGGAAGTGATGGGTGTGTTGTCTGTAGGTTCACTTGGGTCATGGGTCAGCCTACTCAATTGCCTTGTGTTTCCCTGTGTCCTCCTCCCCCTCCCCATATTCCTATCATAACAGCCAACATCTATGTACTGCACATCAGGAACTGTTTGAAGTGCCCTATATGTACTTGATAAGGACCTACTGTGTGCTAGGCCCTGGAATACCAGGTACCAAGTCAGAAAGGTTCTGGCCCCTGCCCTACAGGTCTGTGGAAACAGCAGTAGGGGGGACCAGTAATGATGATAGCACACAGTCGGTGGCATTTGGGACTATTCCACACTCACTCACAACCAATATGCCACTGGAACACCCACCCAGGGTCCTGCCAACTATGGCACATGGCCCAGGGCCCTCCACCTGCTTTCCTATAGCCTGTGAGCTGTACAAAAAAAAAAATAAAAAAAAAAAAATGCGAGCCCTAACCGGTTTGGCTCAGTGGATAGAGCGTCAGCCTGCAGACTGAAAAAAAAAATGCGATGGTTTTTACATTTTTAAGTGGTTAAAAAAAATGAAAAGAAAAAGAATATTTAGGGAAGTGTGAAAATTATGCAAAATTCAAATTTCAGTGTTCCTAATCAGGCCCCCTGGAGCTCCACCTTGTCTCCCTGCTTAGTGTTGTGTGGCCGCTTTGGCATTCGAAGGGCAGAGTTGAAGAGTTTTGAGAGTGACCACATGGAACCCAACGTCTAAAATAGTTACGATTTGGTCCTTTACAGAAAAGAGTGTGAACCTTGTACCTGGAGCCGAGCTGGAGGAAGATCTTCAGATGAACTGGCCCACCTCCACCTCCTTGCATAATTAATAATATGAGCCGATGCCTGCAGAATACAGCTGTGTACCAGGCCCTGTCTAAGTGCGCACAGGCGTCAGCTCAGTTCAGACTCAACATCAAGGCCAGGGGCACTGCTGTTTACTACGATTCTCACCTTACAGACGAGGGAATGGGGCACCGACGGGCTGTTCCTTGTGCAAGGTTTATAATTGGCAAGTAGTAAAAGCAGGCTTTGAACCCAGGCAGTCCCACTCCAAGGTCTGTGATTTTAATTAAAAGAAAGAGAGAGAGAGAGAGAGAGAGAGAGAGAGAGAGAGAGAGAGAGGGAGAGAGGGAGAGAGAGGGAGGGAGGGAGGGAAAGAAAGAAAGAAAGAAAGAAAGAAAGAAAGAAAGGAAGGAAGGAAGGAAGGAAGGAAGGAAGGAAGGAAGGAAGGAAGGAAGGAAGGAAGATAGAAAGAAAGAAAGAAAGATAGAAAGAAAGAAAGAAAGAAAGAAAGAAAGAAAGAAAGAAAGAAGGGAGGGAGGGAGAGAGGGAGAGAGGGAGAGAGAGGGAGGGAGGGAGGGAGGGTATGCAAGAAAGAAAGAAGGAAAAGAAAGAAAGAAAGAAAGGAAGAAAGAAG